TCTCTCTCTCTCTCTCTCTCTCTCTCTCTCTCTCTCTCTCTGTGTCTCTCGCGCGCGCGCGCGTGTGCGCAAGTGCAGCTCCCGCGCAGCAGCTCGTGCGCATGCTCACGCGAAGCTCCCCGGCCCGCGCACACACACACACACACACACACACACCCCTCTCTCTCTCTCTCTCTCTCTCTCTCTGTCTCTCTCTCTGTCTCTCTCTCTCTCTCTCACACACACACACACACAAACACACACACACACACACACACACACACACTCACACACAATCAATCAATCAATCAATCAATCAAACCCATTTTTTCAAGTTTTTTGTTTATTTATTTTCAAATTTTGCATCTTTATTTTTCAAAGACACCTCGTACCCCTGCAAAAAACAGAAATTCATTTCTAAAAAATACAGCTGAACTCAGGGACCATATATCTGATGATAAAAAATGACAAAAAAATTTCCAGCTTTTCTTTATTATTATTATTATTTTCTTTAAATCGAATTTAGTTTTTGATTTAAAAAAAATCCTACACAAAGTCGGATTCCAAAAAAAAACAAAAGGGGTTGTAGGGCTTACAATTCCCTACAACCCCTTTTTTTTTTTTTTTTTTTTTTGGGCTATTATTAAATTTAGGAAAAATCTGGTAAAATCGGGTCTGCGGCGCGGACCTGGTAGGCCGCGGAGGCGGCCGTGAATACGTCCGCCCTCCGAGCTCGACCCCGCGGACGCGTCCGCGGGTGTTTCATAGCACATATGGCTATATGGAGGCGTGAGCCTTGATCTTAGAAACAAGGGAAAACTACGGTGCAGGCAGGGTTACAGTTTGCAATTGCATTTCGAACTGCGTTGAGCAGTTTAGACAGGGCCCAAGTTTCAATTGCAGTTGAAACTCGGGCTGGCTTTTCTAGCGGTTTAGTTAGGCACGTGGCCGTTTTTTTTTTTTTTTTGGTGGTGCTCCGCACTGCGCCTTGCGACTGGGAAAAAAAAAAAAGAAGAAAAAAACAGCGCCATAGTTGGGCCACGGCCGAGATGTCTCCACCACACCCCAGACTGGCCACGACCGAGATGTCTCGCCCACACCCCAGATTGGCCAAGGCCAAGATGTCTCGGCCACACCCCAGATTGGCCACGGCCCAGATGTCACGTGGCGGGGCGTAGAGGGGCCGCCCTACACCACCAGTACACGGCCTCAGCCTTGCAGCAGTGTCGAATCCGTGCGTCCCAAAAACAAAACAAGCTTTGGCCGTGATTGCAGTTGGATACACTTTTTGGAGTACTGCCCTCAGTGAGGGCACTTCGGCAGAACGAGGAACACGGGGAGCACCACTGTCAGAATCACAGATAAAGAACAACAACAAATAAAAAAGCCCCAAAAAACAAAAC